GTTTTTTTGTACATGATTTTCAAAAATATTATTTTCAGTGACAAAATGTTAATGTTTGATTAAAATTCTTATTTTGCAGTGTGGAAACAAGTAAATCCATGTTATTTTTAATAAAACATTTGTCATTTAATGCAGCAAATTTGGGTTTCACTTTAATTTTTTCGTGTCCGTATAAATTTGAAACACACCTTATCATATATTTACAGCAATAAAAAACATTTTATTTAAAACACTTTCCATATTACCATTATCAAAATATTTCATACCAGCATTTCTCAAACTTTTTGCTCTTGTAACTCAATATACTTGTTTGTAATAGTTCCACAACCCAAATGTTTTTAGGTTTTTTAAAAATTTTATATTATAAACTGTATATTATATAACAAAATAAAATTATGCATTATTGATAATAACTTCTACATGTAAAATGTAACATCAAGTACATTTCTATTAAGAGCCAATTCAGGTCAATTTTGATTTTTAACAAATAACTTCAATAATAACTTCAATTTGTTTTTGTTATTGAAACTTGAGTGTTAAAAAATGCAAGGCTGATAATTGTAAATAAAACAGACTGTTTCAAAATTATTCAGGAGTCTATTTTACTTTGAAAAATGTTAAAAGTCTTTTTTATAAACGTAATGAACTCTTTTTTAAAATATACTTTTCAGGTGGTAAGAAAATTTTGTCAATTTTACTTTTATATACAAAAACATCTTTAAAACTTGTTTATTGATCTACTTGTGTCAAAATGCATTGTTATTTATTTTTTTAAAATTTATTGTTACATATGCCAATAAACCTAAAAGTTTGAATAAACAAAGAAATATTTTCAAAATCATTTTTCAACTCAAATGGCTTTATGATTATGACCTTACATAAAACCTCTCTTTTGAAGTTATTCAAAATAGAAAAGAGAAATCAATTTCATATACACACATTCTGTAATCTTAATTTTATTACTAAATGGCAATAATAATTTAAGAAAAACAGTTGTTAAAAAATTTCCAGTACTTAACCAATGCATCTATTATTTCAGTAATACAAGTATTATGAATATTTCTGTGGAAGGTAGTATCATTTTGTGACCCATTAAAATTTTAATGTAACCCAATATTGGGTTGCAACCCATAGTTTGAAAAATTTGAGAAATGCTGTTTCATACATAGATATTCTACTTGTTATTTATAAATGTGTCTGAAGAAATGTTGGCATAAAATTTACAAAATATAACAGTTATTAGAATTAAATGCAAATGAATATTACTTCAGTGATAAATGATAGCTTTTGGAAATGATCACCTTAATAATATAAATCATTATATATAATTTATAAAAATTGATTTTCAATAAATTCAGATACCTTTGTACTAAATTTTAATATAAATATTTCAATAGCATCTCTCTCTCTTTTTTGAAAAACTTTTTGAATAAAACTTAAAAGTTTTAATTAATTATACATATATACCTACTGAATAATTGTGTGTGTGTATATATATATATATATACACCGTATTTTTCGCCGTATAAGACGCACTTTTTCTCTCCAAAATCGGGGGGAAAAAAGTGCCTGTGTCTTATACGGCAAATACAAAAGCCCACCATGGCCCTCCACTGCTGCATACATACATAACCGCAGGAATACTCGGCCACTCCGTTCCCTTCCACCTCTTGGCGCCGTCTGATACCAGGAAGCTCTGCTCTGCCTCGCACTGTATTTGGACGGTCTTTGCCTTGCGCTGCGATTGGCTGGGCGAAGAGGCACGTGCCTTCGCTCTCTCCCGCGCTGGCTTTGTGCGGTCTTTGCCTCGCGCTGCGATTGGCTGGGCGAAGAGGCACGTGCCTTCGCTCTCTCCCGCGCTGGCTTTGTGCACTTTTTAGAGTCTCGTAAGCCAGCACGGGAGCGGGTGAAGGCACTCGTCTCTGCGCTCAGCTAATAGCAGTGATATATGTAGTATGGTATATCTGAATGAAATATATCATATTTCATACCACCCCATCAAGATGTCAAAGCAGAAGAGACTGTTTATGATAGTAAAGATAGCTCTTAGTATGTTACATGGTTGACATAAAATTTTTCTTAACTGCTGTTAACTTTATACAGTTGATATAAAATATTTTACTACAGAATTTGGTTCATAATCTTTTTTTTTCTGAATTTGCCTCCTTTAAAATTGGGTGCGTCTTATATGCCGGTGCATCTTATACGGTGAAAAATACGGTATATATATTCATTAATCTATATAAAGGTTTTTTGATTAACTCATCTAAATAAAATTATACAGGTACATAACAAAATTATATATCTTCTAAAACAGTTGTTCCCAAAGTGGGTGTTACTGCCCATGTAGACAGTAAATAGATCTAGGAAGTAAAAAGAAGTAATTGGGTAGCAGGAGGTACTAGAGGCAGGTACTGAACAGTGACCATAGGCAAAAATTGGGGTCACTGACAACCTTTACCTTGCCTCTACTAAAATGGGTAAGAAGAAACATTACATTGTTCTCGACATCTGGGTTTCCAGATGTCGAGAACAATGTACAGCAAGAACACAAAGTATGACATTCATAAAAAAGTTTCTCTAAGAATTTTCAAGCCTTTCTCACACACGGGAAAATGAGTTAGGGGCATTGGGTATAAGTTTATAAAACCAAGGGGACAGTGACTCAAAAAAGTTTGGGAATCACTGCTCTAACACTAAATTAACTATACAGAAAATAAAGATAAACCAAATCTATTTACTACAATTAAACCAAGGAAAAAGAAACAGACATTTTTGGCCAAATATGAGTGCCATACTAAATGATACTGACAAGGAATGTTGCCTAAACATCCCCCCTTCAATTTTGATAATGCATACATATATGTGAGAGTGAATCAAAACAAATTGTGACTGATTTTTTCCTGTCACATTAACAAATTCTGAATTTATATCATTATTATTGGTACATCTGTAAAAAAAAACTGCATCTGTAAAAAAAAATCTGTAAAAAAAAAGATTTCATATGGCTGTTAGGCAGGCAACAGACAGCATTTACTCTATGCCCTCTACAATAAAGTGGAAATGAATCATGATGAGCAGTATGCATTGAACTACAACTAACACTAACATGGTGAATGAATTTTTTGCCAAGAAAAGTAGTTTGTGCATCCCACATCCATCATAAAGCCCTGATTTGGCATTCTGCAGGCTTTTTCTATTTCCAGGACCAAAGTTGAAGCTACATAAAATCCTTTTCCTATCCTCAACAGCACTGATTAGCATCAAAAGCAATTATTAAGAACATCTCAAAGAATAGGCTACTACACATTTGAAGATGTGTAGTAGCCCATTCTTCATTCTTCCCATTCTTTTGAAGTACAGAAATTTCAAAATATATATATATATATATCTCAAAGCAATACATTTCAAGGGTTGTTACCCCTTGAAACAGTCTTTTTTTAATTTTATTTTATTAACTCTTTCTCCCCTGTGGACACTAAGAGGGCCTCTTTTAGCAAGCCCATTATTGGTTGGCCAGGCCCACAACAGGGCCTAACATATCCAGATGGACCATCACCTGAAAAATTCCTGGGGCTTTTTCAACCTGATTGGATTCAAACCAAGTGGTAGGCTACACCTTGACCACTCAGCCATCTGACTGTCAACCTTAAAATAGACTGTTAAAGAACATGTAAAAATAAGTTATGGTAAGTCTTTTCATAAAAATTGTTGCAAGCATATCTTTTAATGTTAAAGTAAAAATATACACAAAACTACAAAATAGTTTTGTTGGAAAGTTCTTTCAATAAATAACTTCAGGTGTGTTTATGTAATCAAGCATTTGATGTACAGTCCACAGAACTGTCACAGGTGTTAGGTGTGTTTATGTAATCGTATCCCTAAGAATGTGGGTTGAGATTTTCCCACCTAGAGAGGGAGGAATTGTGTGTTTCCTTTTGGTGTGTCAGGTCTATGCTGACCAGTGTGTGTAGCTGTGTGGGTGGTAAGGAACCAGTGTTGGGCTTAATTAATTGTCAGGTGCCAGAGTGTTGCCCACTTGTGGAGAAATTAAAGTTCAAATACGTTTTTGTTGTGTTATAAAGGACTTGTGTACTGTGTTAGAACATGTAATGGAAACATTTAAACATTTTACACAGTTTATTAAAATAATGATTATTTAAGCATTTATGAATAACTTTCTAAAAAAATAAACAATTTTAATCAAGAATTTATTTAATTATTCAATTGTTTTGTACATGATATAAAGTGTCCATAAAATTTCTATGGTTATGTCAACTTTCTTTTCATATACATCTAATTGGGTTGCAATTTGAAAAAATTGTAGACCTATAAATTCCAACTGTTGTCCCTCTATCTGTCTTTCCTTAATCTCAAGAACAGTGTTAAATAAATGAAATTCAAGACCAAAGATGGAAAGCCTAGGGGCAGGAGGCCCCATTAACTATATATGAACTTCTGATGCAAACTGGAAGTCACGTTATTTCAAATCAAAAATTTTCCTCCAAAAGGAGTTACATAGATGACTGGCACAACTCTATTGCTAACAGAAATGTATGATGTATAGGGGAAGACACAACAGTACTAATTTGAGATGGAGAGCATATATTTTAAATTAAATAAATTAAAAATTACAGCCCAGCATTGTGATGATGTCACAATAAATAATTTTAAATTTTATTTATAGACTAATGATGAGCTGTTAGTCTTGTGAAAGTGATGAAGAAGCCATTTTATCATATCTTATCAAACCTGTGACAAAAGTAAGAATGAATTTAAATGAAATGACAGATTCTGATTGCTTGTTTTATTTTCAGTAAGTGAGAAAATTAAAGAAAGAAATAAAAATATTATACTTATAAAATGTTTATAATTTAACAGATTTTCAACAGATGATTTATTTCATCTAAGCAAACAAACTCAATGTAGTTATTCAGAATCACATTAACAGTGATGATGAATAATGATGTACATCCAAAATTAAAATAAAAACAATTTACCTTTTCTATTGTTTCACCTCTAAGCTTAGCAAGACGTTCTTCTATTTCTTTATCAGTTGACTTTTCTTTGGATTCAAGCTCTACTTCATGTTGACACTGCTCAATTAAATGTTCTGTTTTATCTACTACTGAACGATTATCTTGTTCTCTATAAACCTATTAAATAAAATATTTAAATTTTATTTTATAAATTTTTAAAAAATTTTAATGCTCTAATTTTTTTACAAGTAGACTCAATAAACCATCAAAGTTCTACTCAGTAGCAAGAATTTAATGTTTTGGGAATGGCAAGGCAGTTATTTCTTTACATAGATGTATAGTACATGTGCATTTTCAGGACATTTAATCAAAGCCTTTTTCAATTACCCATGAAAATTCTGTCCTAATTGGTTCATATACCCTACTAAGGCAGTGAACAAGATGCATAACATGTCTCAGATTCAGCTATGTCAACTTTATGTTTGAGCATGCACTTAAATTGATCTCTCACAGAAACACCATTTGGAATATTGCTATTTAACTAAGGAAAATTAGAAAGATGTTGCAAACTGTGAAAGCAAAGAAAACAAATAATGCACAAGTTCAAGAGTTTCAACATTTTTATGAGAGGAATCGATTCCCTTATCTTCCCTATATTTCAGCTTAGGTTTCACTTATGAAGTCAAATTTGTATTGACATTTCATTCCTTTACTTCAGATATAACAACACAATATACATTATCACATCATGTACTTGTACACAAACCATATAAATGTTCACATACATACAACAATAACTAAATCATCATCTAAAAACTGTATACAAGCACGTGCATACGCACACACAAATTTGTACTAGACAAAGGCAAAACTCTTCAATAGGAAAAAAAAAAGACTAGAAAAAGAACACAACATCCATCATTAACAAAATATCTGAATGCAAAACACACAGTTAAAGTAAGAATATCATCCCAATTCTTACATAATCATTTGAAGTTATACATTAGAATGAAACTAAAACAACTTCTATATTAACAAACCAAACAATGCCATCCAATCTATCACAGAGCAAACCAAAGTTAAACTGATCATACTCAAAAACAAACAAGATAAATATATCAAGAGATTTACTGTAAGATGATGACCATCAGGCATCATTGATACATAAAAAATGACTTCCATTTGCTTTTTTATACAAAGTGTTAAAAATGCATTCAGCATTTAAATGCAGGGGTTAATGAGTAAAATTCCTAAACTGTTAAGAAAATAAATGAGGGGTTGCAGAGGAGACGAGGGAGAACGGGAGAGGGAAACAAGGGGAGAGAAGGCGTGAAGAGGACTAAAGATGGTTAAGGACGCTAGAACATTATCGCTCTATTCATAGTTTGAAGACAGTTACGAATGCTGGAATATTATTGTCATTAATATTTCTACCACTATTCCTACATACATGGTAGACAGTATATAGTAATTTATAATCATGTGCATTATTTTGTTCTAATTGGTCTAAGGACCAGAGCCGTAACTAGGATTTTGGACGTCTATGGCCAAGAATAAAAATGGTGCCTTTTTAATTTTTGTTATTAAAAAAATAATTTTTTTTTTAGAATAACATTATCTAATGACATTCAATATATTTTCCAACTATATATACGGTAAATAATTTAAAATATATCTTTATAAATAACCTTTAATTATTTAAAAAAAAAAAATATAACACATTATTTTAATGAATTTAAATGTAATAAAATTTGAACAATTTCACAATCAATCAACTAGAGAGGGAGGAATTGTGTGTTTCCTTTTGGTGTGTCAGGTCTATGCTGACCAGTGTGTGTAGCTGTGTGGGTGGTAAGGAACCAGTGTTGGGCTTAATTAATTGTCAGGTGCCAGAGTGTTGCCCACTTGTGGAGAAATTAAAGTTCAAATACGTTTTTGTTGTGTTATAAAGGACTTGTGTACTGTGTTAGAACATGTAATGGAAACATTTAAACATTTTACACAGTTTATTAAAATAATGATTATTTAAGCATTTATGAATAACTTTCTAAAAAAATAAACAATTTTAATCAAGAATTTATTTAATTATTCAATTGTTTTGTACATGATATAAAGTGTCCATAAAATTTCTATGGTTATGTCAACTTTCTTTTCATATACATCTAATTGGGTTGCAATTTGAAAAAATTGTAGACCTATAAATTCCAACTGTTGTCCCTCTATCTGTCTTTCCTTAATCTCAAGAACAGTGTTAAATAAATGAAATTCAAGACCAAAGATGGAAAGCCTAGGGGCAGGAGGCCCCATTAACTATATATGAACTTCTGATNAAATAAAAGTTTATAATTAACATATCAGATTGATGAATGTTCACCATATTAACTAATATCTTTTGAATAACAATCACAAAATAAACTTAAACAAGATGAACTTTTCTCGCCTTCAGATTTGCAAATTCATCTATAACATCCTCAAAATCAGTTTCTTTAAAAATTTCATTTTCTATAGATAATAAACTTAAACTACTCAATCTGTCTTGGGACATTGTAGAACGTAAATAGTTCTTAATGATTTTTAATTTACCGAAACTTCTCTCACTTGAAGCAACAGTCATGGGCAGAGTAATCATTATCCTTAATGCAATGCTGATGTTAGGATAAGACTCACTTAACCATTTCCTCTATTATTTGTAAATGGTGTAAAGATATCAAATTTCTAATTATTATTTTTGCTTGACTTTGAAAGCACTCTAATTCATTTACTAATTGCATTGCATCCAATTCACTATATACAATGCAACTGTCAGCTGCAGCTTTTTTAAAATCTACTAATGGCATGGTAATCCAATTTTTTCCATTTAAAAAAATCAAAAATCAATGATATTGAAGGCATATTTTTAAATCAATCACCTAGTTGGGATATAATATTGTCAACAACTTCATAAAATAGGTGTTTTAATTCATCCTGACTTGAAAGTATAGTTCCTTCTTCTGTTTCTCTAGGTAACAGTTTTATTTTGAACTTTTGCTGCAGCTTGGGTATTGAATCAATTCCCAACTCTTCACAGTTTTGTTTGCATTCTAACATGATAATATCATACTGATTATTTCTAAAATGCTGGAAAAAAAAGATACTAGTCCATTTAATAATTCAGAAGAGCAAAAAATGTTTTGCGATTTATCCTGTAACTGGTTATTTACAACATTTATTTTGGCTAAAATATTTTCCTACATAATTAACATAAAAATAAAATTGTATAATTCAATATGTCCAATAATAATTCTAGCTGTCTCCAAATGAAGAATCTTCCAATATTTCTTTAAGGACTTTTATAACTTCATTAATTTGATATTTTAAATGACTTACTGAACATGATTTAGAGCACCATATCGTGTCACTATGTCCTTTTAGTGTTGTCTTTAGCAATGTTGTAACTTTTTCCCTTCTTCGGGTAGAAGAAGCAAAAAAATTAAACAATTTCTGGATTATTCCAAAAAATGAAACCATCTCCACGGTAATGCTTACTGCATGCACTCCAATTAAATTAAGCGAATGCACAGCACAAGGAACAAATTTCGCAAGAATGTTTAATCATGCTGTATGCACTTGCATGCCATTATATATTCTGGCCATGTTTGCTTCGTTATCATACCCTTGTCCTCTTATGTTTTTAAAATCTAAACAACCATTTTTTAACTTCTCCAAAACTTCAATTGCAAGTCCTTGTCCTGTTTTACATTTTGATAGTACAAAATCAACAAATCTCTCTTCGATAGTTACCATTTCCTTTTCAATTTTGACATATCTGATAATCTGGCATACTTGTTCTTTATGAGATATATCAGGAGTATTATCAATTATTATGCTAAAATATTTTCCTGTCTTTACATTATTTATAATTTTGTTTCAAACTTTAGATGCTAATAAAAAAATAAAGTCATTTTGGATTTTTGAACTTAAATACGATACCTTTTGTTCTTTCATTAAAGACAGTTTTTAAAGTAGTGTCATATTTGCTGACAAGTTCAATTAAAGTATAAAAAAATGCCTCTATTCACATTATTCTCGGTGGAATTTTCATGCGTTCCTCTTAAAGCTAAATAATTTGTAGCACAAAACATCACACAATTTAAAACAATTTTAAGACTATAACACCACTTATTTACTTCTACCATTATTTGTTTTTGCATAACACTATCAATGAGATTTTGTCCAGTTTTAATGTTTTTTTCCTAGAATTTTCCAAGTTGTATAACAATTTGTGTGTTCTATTGATTGTTCATGGTTCAGGATTCTAGGATTTAACCCTTATGCACCATTTGTCTAATATTTTAGATTGCTTTTTTTGTTCTTCTAATTGTCTTTCTTTTTGTTTTATATTTTCCCAGCCAGATTTTTTCTTTTTTGTAGACATTTTATTATAGCAATTTTTAAAAATATATATATTTTTTATTACTAAATTTGACAAAAAAAGAACTCACTAAACAGTAACATTTATAAAAGCTAAGATTCTAATAAGTTCATACAAAGCACTCCCTCTCACCTTTTCGATTGAAGCAGAAGAAATGTGCCATCCCCTCCTTACCTTTCCTTTCCTGGGCAGATAAAGAAGTGTATTGCTATTTGCTTTTACTCTGAAGGGAAGTGAAACAGGAGATAGATCGCTAGGTGACAGAAGAGCTGGCATTATATAAGATGGCCAGAAAATACACGAAGGGAAATAGAATGCCTTCCAAAAGGACTTTCATGGGGACCTGGCCCCTATTTAGGCGTCATCTGCAAGGAGAAAACCCGGAAAACTCCTGTCCAATTGAGCCGTGAACCTACAACCAAACTCCCAGTGTTTAGGGTCTGGTCACCGCCGCTATGAGTGGAGACAAAGTCCACTCGGCCACTGGTCGGCACGCACCATCCCCTCCTAGACTACAACCAAAGTGGTCACCTATGCAAATTTCATAAATTATTTTTGCCACAAAATTTTTTAATGACGGTTTATTAATTAGCTAATTAATTGCACTATTGTTTTTTATGGGAGTTTTTTATATCAAATTAATAAAATCGTTCTAAACTTCTATTTGACAGATTTGACATGAGTAAAGTTTTTTAAACGCTATTGGATGTTTTTTATGACATCAACATGTTTTTTTTCTTTTTTATTCAGTAAAATTTTTTTCCCAAAGCTTTTTTTTGGTCCCCCTGTATTTTAATAACATAAAAATTGAAAATTTCGTGTTATATTTGAATAGATGTGATAAGTTAGCTCCCCTCCTGCTTTAAACCAATATTACCCTGAGGCATACATGAGAACTACCCGGGAAAGCTGATAACAGTTGTTCTCCAGGTCAACCAGTTTGTAAACAATAGAGAGGTTGAGGCGCACGTTTTAAACGTGTAAACGTGTACGTGTGACGTTCGGCACCGCTTTCCCGTAAGCCTAAAAGTTTGACGATGGTGTTTGAAATGTCGAGCGTGATTCCACCGACTATCCAAACACCATTGTCAAACTTTTAGGCTTACGGGAAAGCGGCGCCGAACGTCACACGTACACGTTTACACGTTTAAAACGTGCGCCTCAACCTCTCTAATGTAGACTGTACAATTTTTGAAATATGTTAGTAGAAATTACAGATCATAAATACTATATACATGTAAATATAAAAGTTTTTTTGTGTTATTAATTTCGAATACATATTATTCCGAAATCTTCTCACTGGTGCCTTTATTAAATCGGTGCCTATGGCAGGGGCCACATTGGCCATACTCTAGTTACGGCTCTGCTAAGGACCATCGTCAAAATTAGTATGTTTGAACTTTTGTCTAATGGCAGTTACTGCATCTATCTCAATCTGATTAATATCATGTGACATTAGATGCAATGCATTAGATATTAAATAAATGATTTTTTAAACAAATTTTTGGAAGAAAAAAAAATATATATCATATATAGCAGAAAGTGCATTAAGCATTCACTGCATATCATGCTATTAATTATATTATATATAATTATAGCATATGATATGATATGAATTATAATAATAATATAATATAAAATTATATTATTTTTTTACCAGTTTTATAGTATAGTCATACAATTACATTTTATACAAAACTGATATTTAATTGAATATTCATTCATTACTTAAATATTTTAAACAAAAAATTTTTACCAATATTGGTGGTGCTGTATAAACTTTGGGATTAATTCCTTTCAGTTTGGCAAGTCTTTCTTCTAATTCTGTCTGTGAAATAACAGGATCTGAAATTATTAGTTTTGTGTTTATTTCAGGATTATCTTGAAAGTAATAAAAACACTACACACTAATTTATAATAAATTATACACACATGACTATTATTAAAAAATTAAATTTTTACTTTTATATTATATTAGATATGTAATTATAGTTATTACACTAGATGACAAAAATTTTACAGTATATAAAATTCTTTTGATTTAGGATAAATTGAATGTAGATTCAGATTTTAAAAATAATACTTATGCTTATTGTAGGAAATGCAGTATTAATAAACTACAGTATATTTTTCATACTTTGTATTTTTTTTTTTTTTGCATAAAGTACTGTACATATCTTTAATTTAGAAGTTATGACCAAAAACACTCCATGAAATAGGTCAAACTGAACAGAACCATCTGTCAGTATGCAAATATAACTGCTGACATACTGTATACATTTATTGATCACTATTTTTGATAGCTTAAACACTACATTTGACACAGGTTTTGAACATTTTTTTTCAAATTATGTTCTTAATCTGAAATATTCAGTCAAATTTTAGTTTCTAATGTTTTCTGTCTTCTGTTTACATTTGACATCCTCTCAATTTATCTCAAATGAGTGAAGTTGTGCCAATCATCCAAACAGCTTTTCTAACTGGTCTATATTCAATTAAACTCTTAAGAAAGCATATAATAAGCCAGAACAGAAAACTAAGTACTATTTGAAGCCTACAGTTTTCAACCAGATAGGGAATGAGAAGGATAAAATTTCACATTGCTTAAAAGAGGGGTGTACAAAATTCTGGTGGCTATAAACAATGAGGAAGGTAGAACTTGGTATAGAGGGAACACAATCCATATATTACAGGCTAGAATGATAGAGCATTGGGAGGATCTGATGAAGGGCAGAATTACCATGGCATTGGCCAAGGAGTTCCTCGTCAAGAAGTTGGCAGTACCAAACTGGACAGGTGCCAGAATTATTTTTCAGGACCCCAGACAATTCCCTGTTAATACTGAGGAGAAATTAATTATAGTCACAACAGATGAGCCTTTTTATTGTTTATTTAGTAAAAATAAAAAGGAAGAGGCTAATGATATGGAACCATGGACTAACTATGTGGCTAATTCCAGTGAAGAAAGAATAGAACACACTATAAGAAAAGAAATTCTGATTAACTTTTGTTTGATATTGTGGTTGTAGGAAGAAAAGATGTTTGCAAATTGTTGATAACATTTGTTGGATTTTTAATTTGATTATTAATGTTTATTGGGTAAAGTTCTAACACTGATTTTTTATTTTTTTCATTTGATATTTGGGAAGTGTTATTTGTTGGATCAGTTTACCAAAGAAAGGATTAGCACATGATTCATATATTTTTATTGTTGAATTTATTTATCACATTTGAAAAATAATTTAAATTTTGTAATGCTCTAAAATGCTGTTCTTTCTACAACATTCAAGTGGCTGAAGATGAAACAATGGTTCTGAAAAATATTTTCAGAGTTAAAAATCTTTCCTAGACACCTTTATTTCTGTTGCAAATGAGTAACATTACTATTGATCTGATATATGCCTGATCTGATATTGCTATTGATCTGATATTGCTGGCATGTAACAAAACATGCCTAAAATTACTAATATTGGAAATAGCAAACCTGTCTACTTTAATGGTAAACTAGTTTAAATCATTAATTTTTTATTTTGCCTAAATATAGTTCAATGAAAACTGACACTTGTTTATTATTTACTTTATTACATAATAAAAAGAATAATATAAAAGTTTATTACCTAAACTTCTTTGTGGTTTTAACTTTTTAAGTTTTTCAGAAATTATTTTATCTTTTTCGTTCATGTTTCCAGACTTGGATGAGTTATTATGTAAAGCTTCCATTCTCCTATGATGTTTTGAAAGAAAGAATTTATATAAAAATATTTCAATTAAAATTATCTATGCAACAGAAAAATAAATAAAATGAATTTTCATTATTGTTAACAGTGATATTATAGGTTTGAAAATACAATAGACTCTGCTTGTTGTAACCGTGGATATTGTTAACAGTTATCTAATCTTATCAGAATTAGCTTGTATCAAAACATGCAAATTAAAATACACTGTTTGTAAAACTCTGATTATAAGCAGAGTTTCTTATACTTATTGTTATCTTCAGGTAAATGGCACTTTAAACTGTTTTTTCATGTTATTAGCTTCAATACAACACTAATAACACACAATCATTATCAGTTATCATTCACAGTCTTATCCATACTTTAAATTTTTAATTGTTTTAATCATTATTTACTTGCAGTACAACAGTTTTAAATGTCTTATTTCAATTATATGCTAGCTATTATTAATGGTGACACTGCAAAAAACAGCAAGAAAACTAGACAAATTATTATTAATTAATAATAATTACAATTAATAAATATTTAAGTTATACATTTTTTAACTGTTTAACATGTTCTTTTAATGTTAGAGTACACAGATTCATTTCACTAAATGTAGTCTTATTTACTTACCCTGCTTAATGTTATCAATTTGGTTATCATCATCAGTATAGGAGAGTTCCAAAGCAATTACAATAAGCAAATTCTATTTTATATAAGAACAAAATTGTAACAAAAAATTCATAATTATTCATTTGTATAAAACTTGCTCACAGTGAAGAAATACAATTTGACAAAATTACTGGAAAAAATTTCATCTTTTACAGAATATAAGTGAAATAACTAAATAGCATATACAGTAAACTCTCGTTATTTCAATATTGGATAATTCAAAGTAAAGTCTAATCTCAAGCCAAGAGAATAGGATTTTTCATACATTTTAGTTTGGATACTTCAAAATATGCATGCAATGAAGTTCAAAGTCATTTCTGGTCTGGTGACCCACAAAAATATCATTTAATTCAAAATCTCTCATCATATTACATGTTTATAAGGAAAGTTTCCATGCCCAAGTGACATTTTCAGTTTTGGTTTTACCAATTATTCAATGATGATTTACTGAACTTCTTTTCAAGGTCAATCAGACATCATATAGCATTGCCAATGAAAAGAGAATTTTTTATTTTCATGGAAGAAATCTGTATGGCATTTAATTATTTTGGACATTTTTTGCAAAAATCTATTGTTTCAATAATTCCAAAGTAAATTAAATACACATGCATATTCATAATAGAATGTGTACTTATAGCTTTAGCCATTAACAGAGCTTGTTTTCATCAGATCACATGAAAACCATTGAAAATATGCGTGTTATACATAAAGAGGCATTTTGTTCAATTTCCACTGTGGAAAAGGTATTACATAAGCACTTATGTGAGACTAATAGTTTAGCACAGTGGTTCCCAAAGTGGGTGCTACTGCCCCCTAGAGACAGTGAATAAATCTAGAGGGCAGCAGGGGGTGCTGGAAGCAGGGTCCTGACTGAATGGTGACCATAGGTGAGGGTTCACATTACTGGCAACCTTTCCCCTTCCTCATTAAAACAGATAAGAAGAAACATTTTAATGGTTTCCGGATAAGGAGAACAATGTATGGTAAGGACACAAAGTTTGAGGTTCATAAAAAGGTTTTCCTAAAAATACAGTTTAACCCGATTATAACGACATTGGATGTAACGACAACCCTAATATAACGTCAAATTTTTATCGGTCCCACGATTTTACTGTACTAGATAATGTTAAAAAACCCACTTGTAACGACATAAAACCCTGTTTTAACGTCATATTTGAAGCACTCTCAAATTTACAAAATTAAATTACAAATTTTATTTATCAAAGAAAATACTACGTGTTCAGTCCTAGGGTCAGAGTCCGCTTCCTAGAACGATTGTGGGTGGTACTGTCACCACCTGATTCGGTGGGGTGAGATGCGCCACCCCTTTAAACGACGTGACAGTGGGTTAGTCTGCATAGCTCTCATACTCGTGTTGTAGTTTAGCATCAAATCAGGTAAAATGGCTAGCTTAAAAAGGAAAGCGTTAACATTAGACTGCAAAGTAGAAATAATTAAAGCAGTTGAAAGTGGAAGAAAAAAGGCAGATGTATGCAGAGACTTTGGTTTAGCAAATTCTACAGTGTGCACAATAATAAAAAACAGAGAGAAAATTTTGAAAAGTTTTCAAGATGGCAAGGGACAAGTGAAAAAAATTAAGTTATGTGAAAAAGCCAATATTGATGACGCTCTAATTAAGTGGTTTAACCAATGCAGAAGTTCCAACTTACCACTAAATGGACCGATACTAATGGAAAAAGCAGAAGAATTTGGACGACTACTAGGCGATACTAACTTTAAATGTTCTAATGGATGGCTAGACCGTTTTAAACAAAGACATAACATAAGTTTTGGGAAAGTGTGTGGAGAAGCAAAAAGTGTAAATTTACTGGACGTTGAAAACTGGTTAAGAGATGTGTGGCCTAAACTAAGGGGAGAATATGCAGATGAAGACATTTATAATGCAGATGAAACCGGGATATTTTACAAACTTTTACCGGATAAAACATTTAAATTTAAAAACGAAAAGTGTGTTGGTGGAAAACTTGCGAAAGATAGGATAACAGCTTTTGTTTGCGCTAATATGACTGGTACAGACAAAAGAAAACTTCTTGTAATAGGAAAATCAAAGAATCCAAGATGTTTTAAAAACATAAAAACACTACCAGTAAATTACAAAGCGAACAAAAAGTCATGGATGACGTCTGAGATTTTTGAAGAAGAAATTCGAAAATGGGATAAAGAACTTATTGGTAAACGAAAAAAAGTTTTACTCCTTGTCGATAATTGCCCAGCACATCCAATTTTAGAAAATTTAAAGAACATCAAACTTGTATTCCTTCCTCCGAATTGTACTAGCGTACTTCAACCAATGGATCAAGGAATTATAAGAAGCCTTAAATCTCACTTCAGAAAAATTCTTTTACAAAAAATTATAACAAATATGGAAGATAAAAATAAAATGGCAATTTCTTTATTAGATGCAGTTGATTTTTTGGAAAAATCTTGGTGTAAGGTTAGTTCGCTAATAATAGCAAACTGTTTTCGCCATGCAAAATTGTGTAATAGTCAAACAGCTATTACATTTACGAAAGATGACAATGAGGACGATGACATTCCTCTATCGGAATTAATTAAAACACTTCAGAGTTCAGAAAACGGCGAATTTTTGTTAACTGCTGCTACTGAATATGAGTGTGTAGATGAAAATTTAATAACATCTCAATTTTATACAGATGCAGATATTATTGAGCAAATTAAATGTTCAGACGAAAAAAATGTGGATGATGATGATGATGATAATGATGATAATGAAGAAGATGAAATATCAAACAGAGAAACTACAGTGCCGTCAACTAAGGAAGCGAGTAATGCGATAAAATTATTGAAAATGTTTTACAGGTCTCGTAAAACTTCATCGGAAATAATGAACAAAATCTACGACTTAGAAAATGACATTGATAAACAATTTTTAGGTGAAAAATGCCTACAATCTAAAATAACTGACTTTTTTTAAGTGAATATTTTTATTGTTTCTTTTTAATTGATATACATTAATTTAACCTAAAAGTGAAATATATTGGACTTCATGTCCATTGATAGATAAGCAAGAAACGAGAAAATTATCATCCAGGCGTTAAAACCGAAAGTGTCGCAATTATCGAAACTTGACAAATAAAAATTTCTTATAAAAAATAATTTTTGAAATTTTTAATTACATCGTTGTAAATTTAGACATAATAATGTAAATAAAGTTGATTTAAATATTTAGTTTGCACTTTTATACATACGATATTAAATTAGATGAATTTTATAATAGATTCTTAAACAGACTTGATACTTTTATGGGACTGAAATTATGACCCCGCAGATAACGACACTCGGTTATACCGTCAAAAAATTGCCGGTCCCATGGATGACGTTATAAGCAGGTTAAACTGTATTTCCAAGCCTTTCTTGCACAAGGAAAAAAGGCTGGAACAATGGGATATGGTTGGAGGTACTGGATATAAGTTTATGGAACCAACAGGATAGTGGCTGAAAAAAGTTTGGGAATCACTAGCATTTGCAATGGACAAAATATCAAAAAAGTATATGAACTAAATGAAAAAAAATGAAACAAACTACATTGAATTAATTTGTTAATAAAAAATAAATCTGTTTAAATTCATTTCAATCATTAGCTCTTTTCTGTAATAAAGGTCACTGTTAACTTTTCATAGAGTTTATTTTAGTATTTATCAATAATAACTGCAATTTTCTAACTTGTTTGCTAAAATGATGTTGAAGTATTATGAAATCACAGAAAATGTCATGTTTGATGTTTTCACATTTTATTTCAGGCATCCTTCCATTAGTGCCAAGGGAACTAGTACTCATTATGCAGGAGTCACACTGCACAGTGCCAGAATTGCCACTTGGCAATATTTTTATTAAAGTGGTAATAAAAATATAATACTGGCAATTGAAAGTGGCGATAAAAACTGTGAAATCCGCGATTTTTACGCCGATGTCGGAAAAATCTTTGTAAACAACTCCGATGGGAAAAACCCACTCTTGGTGAGAAGTATATCGGAGGTCACTGATTGTTTTCACATGAAGGTGGGAAAGTTGACAGTTAGTTAATCGGAATGCACTGTAAGTGTCAACAGAAGTCGATCACGTGACTCATTTCCCACGAATAACGTATAAAAGCTCGAGTCCCCGAAAGCTCTGGGCAATCCCTCGGAAGTTATACTTGGTAGATGTGCCATATTTGTCTCCATACTCCAGACCAAAAGGACATACGACCAACCACAGCCATTTGAACTTCCATCGCCATTAATGAACATATTTAACGAACGCATTTTAGACATATCGGCATAGAGGTATTTGTACTTTTTAGAGCTTTGTGAACTCTCTCTCAGACTAGCAGGAAAGCTATTAGAGCGTCCCTTTTGTATAGTAAACTTATTTAATCGCATTTAACCTATGTATCCTAGCTTAGTTATATAAATAAATGCTTGTTTAGTTTTAAACCTGTCTCCTGTCTCTGATGTACACCTGCCGACTTACCGACGCACTCACCACTCAAATTTTTGCCCTCCTAGCCATCCGACAATCCGAGAACTGGTTTTACCAACCTGTTGCAGAGTAAGTGGTCATTTGGGATGAGCCCAGTGGCCCACTGCTAATCTCACAAAACTGTAATCCACTCATTTCAATATTCAGCGTAAAATTAAATCACAAGTCACACTTCAGGAAAAACAGCAAAACATCAAGCTTCAGTACAATGAGAGTCCTGTGCATCACACACCTAGTGATTTCATGACGTCAGGTCATGTTTGGCAAGTTTGGGCAGAAAAGTAGAAAGTGACATTGAGAATCAAAGGCAATTTTTTGCAATGCAGCCTAGTGTTTCTATATTAGGGATTTTTTATCGACTGACAAAATTTGGGGACTTATCTGGGATGACTTTCTTTCACTTTGATCTCTTTTTAGTAGACTAAAACAAAATTTTGACATGATAAAACCTGTGAAATACTGTTTAAACATTGTGATCAAATGTGTTATTCAGAATTATTCATTAGAAAATTATTCAAAAGTGATTCCTAGTGCTAACAAGGAGAGGGTTAGACATTTGGATCTCCAATTCAAACAAAATTTGGTGAGAATGTAGTCTTAAAACAAGCAGCTCCTTGTCCAAATAATAAAACCCATCTCTCAAGCATTTCCAAAAATTGGGCCTTTGAAAATTTAATGTTTAGCTTATAAGTCTTTGGAAGCTTCAAGCCACAGAGTGGTGATAGTTGAGTGAATAAGAGGCTAAGTACTGGAGCTAGACAACGATACAGGTTCAAACCTTCAGAGTTTTAGTTTAGTGTTTTTTAAAGGGGTAATTTTATTATTTTACTGCATCATTAGCATTATTACTATTATTATTATTCCTCATATTTAAAGCTTATATAACAAGAAATTGAAAATTGTGACGTCATCTCCTATTTAGTGAAAACAAGCCTCTGTAGATTTAATTCTTTTACATCATTAAGTAAGACTTTTATTTCTTCACATTTATTTTCACATATTTTACATACAATGTCCTCACAAGTGAAAAAGTTTCAGATGTTACTGCACATGGACAAAAAAGACAAATGATATGAACATAGTCACAGTGTTTTATTTTTTTAATTGTTAATATTATGGACAATTTCTTTACATGCTTAGGTTTGTTACAATTCAAATATCACAATATCACCATGTCTTAAAATAAATATGAGGAAAAAAAAAATTTTATTTAACAACATAAAAGAGTTTATCTACAGAGACTTTTTTTTATTCTTTTATAGCTATGTATTTTTTGGTTATTAATCCGAACTTATCATACCATGATTTCTTAACTTAGTTTTTTCTTTTATTTTTTAGTAACTTTAAACTTCAATAAGTACATTTTGGGTTTTTTTTACCCTACTTCAGTTGGAGCATTACATTTGAATAATACAACTGAAGGAGGGTAAAAAAACCCCAAAATGTATATATTGAAGTTTAAAGTTACTAAAAAATAAAAATCCAGCAACAAGTTACTTAACTTTCCTGGCAACATTTAGTGGTGCTATTATCATATTTTATTTTAAAATCTTTTTATATTTTTAACTATCATAAAATGGCAAAAAACTTTTGAGGTTAGAGATGGTTTTATAAAAATTGTAAATGCTAGTAACAAATAAAATCGTCATTATGTGTAACCCTACTAGAGATACATGCGACCCTCTTTATCTCCCCATTCCATCTACCTTTATCATCAGAATTTAATATCATCAATCCTCCTGATAGACAAACATCCCTGAAAAATTTCAGAAATTTTCAACAAAAAGCATAGGAGTTATTAAGCTTCAAACGGGGTGAACAAAATCATGCCACCCCCCATACATAAACATCCATACATACAGAAAAACCCTCAAACTGTTTTTGCATTTCTAGGCATTTCAAGGTCCCCTAAGTACAAAACTGTAAAAATCTGGGGGGGGTCATGTTTTGATCAACCACCATACCTTTCCCTCTGTTATATATAACAGCCAAGAAAGTAAAAGAAAAAAAACCATGTTAAGAAATTGTAGTATGATAAGTCTGGATTAATAGCTGAAAAATACATAGCTATAAAATAATAAAATCCTAAAAAGAAAAAAGGACTAGAAGCTATAAGGATAAAAACCACAGAAACTTGTTTTTGCTAAATTGGAAATGATGTCACAGTTTTTAATCTCTTATTTCATAAGCTTCAAATGTGAGGAATAATAATAGTGTGAGATCCGACCCGGGTGCAACCCAATTTTTTCCTTTCTTCTATATTTTAAACAACTTTAACATATTTTAAATAAATTTATCACCTTACTGTGAAAAGACCCCATCGTCAGAAAAACGAAATCAACTATCTCACTTATATAAAAATATCAAGTATCAACTTACAATTCTCCCCTTTAATGTAAACATTCGACTGTCTAACAATAGCATTCATCTGCTACAAGACTTAATGTTTACGGTTAAAGTCCAACTTCGACGATTTATTGCAGCACAGGACAACCTTTAACTTTACACCTGCTAAAACAATTGGTCACCTGACTAATTTTCCCATCGAAAAAAAGTATAAAAGGCGTCCTTCTTCCTGTCTCGGGGGAGTCGCCAATCAAACGAACAACAACGAAGTCGTACATCGAAGTCTTCCCCATCGCAGACCTCCTCCACTTGTGCCACACCTCGCACTGCCTTTCAGAAATTTAAGTCAGAAGTATCCATCCGATATTATCTCGGAGGTATGAAATATTATTGTGAACTCTCTCTCTCTCTCATCCGCAAAGTTGAAGGATTTTTGTGTAAATTTTCTTTAGTTAGTTAGTTTAATAAACTCTTATTTTGTTTTTGAATGATGTCATTACTCGACTTTGCCAACGTCTTATCGTCGACCCCTTCGACTCTCCTCCACTCGCGTAACACGTAACTGAATGTAACGCCATCCTTGACAAGAAAGTAGGTCACTGATCTGTGGCCATATCAGAGAGGCTTTTCCAACCTCCCCGGCGGTTCACAATAGCAATATTAATGCTAATGATGTGGTAAAATAATATAGTTACACAGTAAAAAAAAACAAAATAACTAATATTCCAAAGTTTTGAACCTATATCATCCATCTCCAGTGCCTAGTATCTTATCCACTTGCCTATTGCTGCTCAGAGATACAAAACTTTCAACATTAGCTTACTAAATTTTCAGAGGCTATTTTTTGGGAAACGCTTGAGAAGTGTGCCCTATTATTTGGACAGAGAGTTGTTTGTGATTAAAACTACATGCTCAGCAGGTTTCGTTTGAATCACAGACCTGAATGTCTGATCCTCTCCTTCTAAGTGACAGCTTAACATATTATTTTTGCTTTCCAGATGCCACACTGATAAGGTTACTGGCATCTGTATTAATAAATAAGTAAAACTGGTGGCGATAAATAATTTGAAGTGACAGAAAAATTTAAAACTGGCAAATGGTTGTCAATATTTTAAAATTTTCCAGAGCAACACCTTATTATGTAATATGAAGTTTCTTTCAATGTCAAACATTAGTGTGTAGATGACTTCTTTCATACGTTATTTTCAGGTCTTGTTTTGAATGTAGTTTGGTTACATTTTTGTTGTTTTTATTAGATACACACCAACTGACAGTTTTTCTGTAACAGCTTAAATTAATAAGTAATTTGTAATATTAATGCATTTGTAACAAAATGGGTGAAATTATATAAGAAAATGTCATAATTTCATTTGAGAATTACAAAAAATTTGATTTGAAAAAAGTTTGGATAATTTGAATCCAGATAATTCAAAGTCATGTTTTTGGTCCCTTGAGTTTTGAAATAATGAGGTTTTACTATCATACTAATACTGTTTACAAAAAATTATTATAAATCACAAAAACTTCATAAAGCAGCATGAATTTGCACAAAACAAAATCTGGTTACTGAAAGTAATCAGTGACAAAGCCTCTAGGTAAAATACTCTAGCCTCTTTAAAATTACATTATTATTATTTATGCAAACAAATAGAAATTAAATATAGCTATCTTCAAATCTATAACTTACATAACCTAATGCAAAAATAAAATGTATTTCACTATGAGTGATCAAAAATATCTCAGACAGAATATTTTATAGAAAAACTAATAATATAGTAGCAGCTTGGCAACTGTAGAGAATATTTCACTATATCTCCTGATGCCATAAATCAAAGCAATGAGTGATAGCATGTCTCAATTGTCAGTGAGATGAGCTACAGTGCAGGTATGTGTTTGCATTAAGTTTTGCTGGAAGCTTTGTAAGGTAGTCACCAAAGCATATGAAATACTTCATCAAGTATTTGGAAAAACAGTCCAAAACATTTGAGTGGTATTCATATTTCAAAAATTGCCAACTTTAATTGATGATGATCCACACACAATCTGATCAATGGCATAAAATCAATGAAATTACTTACAGAACCCTTCTGCAGTGCTGAAAAAGCTCTCACAAATGGTCTTCTGATAACTAGTTTCTGCACCATAACAACATACTATGCCATGCAAGCCTGAGTGTCACAGAATTTTTGGCCAAGAATATCATTCCCATAGATTCCTCACCATACTCACCAGATTTGTCATCCTACAACGTCTCCCTTTTTCCCAGGCTCAAAACCATCCTAAAAGAGAAATATCAAAAAATGTTTCAGATACAACTAAAGGCAAAATGATAGTTGATTCTGAAACAGACCTATCAGACATGCATGAAAAAGTAGAAGAATCACTTCAAAGAATCTAGAAAGTTGTACTTTGAAGGAGATAAATCACAGTAAGTAATAATTGCTTTTGTTTTCCTATAATAAATTCTGTTTCAAATACTTTTGAACAGCCCTTGCATATGTATCAAAATAAATTAATATAACAACAGGAGACAAAGAAGTTAAATTTATGAATAATCAATTTGTAAATTTATATTGATATTTATTTGTATACAATCTCAAATTTTCATTATAATTTTGTACATACTTTTTAAGAGCTTGTGGAGGACTATCTGCCTTGACATCTTTCACATCTTCAGTAGACTGCACACTATATATAAAAACAATGTTAAATAAAGCATTAAAGATTATATGTTTTTATTCTTAAAATTAAAAACTTGTTTTTCAATACATTGGTGAAAAAATAAACAATTGGATAATATTACAATAATAAGAAATTGTTGGGTTTCAAAAACATTATGAATATGAACATTTTAATCATGAAATATTGTCAGAGAAATAGCCAGCAATGGATGAACTACTCAAGTAGTTATTATAATTACTAAACTTTTAAGTTAATAACAGTCAACTCACCTTAAAATAAACATCGATAATGTAAATTCTTATGTTAAAGTAAATTTTGCTGTAGCAATGACAAAATGTCATTATCACAATGTTATTTTTCATGCAATAAAACAAATAAAAATTTTACCCAAATTTGTGAAATCAAACTGTAAATTACCTTCATAATCCCTACTTCCAATAATGGTTGCTTTTTACACTTTTTGATGTGAACAATAAAAAATCCAGCAATGAGTTGCATAACTTTCCCAGCTATTATGATATCTTATTTAGAAAATAACTTTTATACTTTTAATTACAATATAACTTAATAAAATTGTGTATGGTACCATCTGTTACAAGATTGTTATAAAAAACTTTTTATATTTTTAATTACAGTAGAGCCTCGATTATCCGACCCCTGATTAACCGCCACCTCGGTTAACCGACCGTCCTAGTCGGCAAATTTCAAACGTCCGCTAGTGATGTGGCGCTACAATATTTGGCTATGTCTCGGCTACTTTAATATTATTTTTACGTGTTTTAGCTGGCAACACTCATTCGACCATGAAAGGGAGCCAGTATTTAAACGAGGCTTAATTTTCTAATTTTTAACAATACAATAGCGACGATTATTATTTTAAAAAATTCTTGTTAGGCTTAACATCGATGAAAATTCAACGCGAAGTAGGTTAATAGCGATATACTAATATACTAATTACATGGGATATAATAATATACTACACTAATAATGGATTTTTTCATACTTTTCGGTTATCCGACTTTTCAATTATCCGACCAACCCCAGTCCCCAATTGGGTCGGATAATCGAGGCTCTACTGTACTATAAAATGGCAAAAAGCTTAATTTTGATGGTAGGGATGAGTTTTATAAAAATGTATAAATGTTAATAACAAGTAAAATCACCATGAAGGTTGACCCTATTGGATATACACATAACCCCCTTTATCTCCTCCTCAATCTTTAACCACCAAAATTTAATAGCATCAATGCCCCTCACATACAAGCCACCATGCCAAATTTCATTATTTAATCTTTACCACATCCTGAGATATGAAGCAAAACAGATGCCAACACATACATCCACAGAATTTTTTTGCCTTTTTTTTTCTGATGTTTTTGGATTCAGGAAATCTCAAAACGTGAAAATCTACAAAAAAACTAAGTGTATCAAATTTCACACAATTCCAATAATTTCCCTTGTTATGTATAGATAACAGTTAGGAAAGTAAAAGTGGTACTGTAATAAATGTTCCATTTTGAGTAGAATATATTTTCTTCTCCTAGTACACAAAGATGGGTTCTTCGATTGTAGAGCAATTCAAACATCTGGTTTTAGCAGACCATTCTAATGTGCGCAGAAAATAGGAGTTAAAATTTAAAGACACTCATCCCTTTATATGGATGTGGTCACATGCAAAGACCTGCTAGTTTGTATATCAGGGAGTGACATAATGCCAGGTTTGGCTCCTTTTTTACTCTTTTGGTTCCAAAAAATATTTTCTATGGTATTTTTTCAAATAATCTTCAACAAAAATAAATCATGGATTTCTTTTAGCTTTTTGTTTAACCACTCTGATCCACACTTAAACAATTAATACTGTCTCTTCATTTTGTTTGATTTGAAAATCATTTACAACATTAAGTTGTTTTTGTAAACAAATTTAATTTTATTTAACTTTATTTAGTAAATTAATTCAAAATGTTATAAATTAGAGATTTTGATTGCCTAATAAAACTTTACCTCCCTAAATTATACAACCTCGACCTTGATCCTGAAAACTGTTAATACAAATTTTCAATAAAGCAAACTAACTATTGCTCCCATAGCAATTCGTATTAATGCAAGTTGACTGTATTAAATTTATTTTTAAACATTTATTGTTTTAACATGTTTTTAAATTATCTGATTCAATAAAACTAGTTTTACTACTAATTATGATCTAATTGCTTTCATTGCATAATGTTATCATTTGGTTATTGTTATCAATGTAGACTAATCCCAGTGATTATAGTAAGTGGTGTCTACTCTGTATGATTTGTTCATATCATTTAACACAGTAATGTCCAACTCACAGCCCACTCAATGTTTTTGTGCGGCCCTTTTAAAACAGTGATTATCTTGTATAGATTTTTATTACAATGAAATCATATGTATAGTTAAATAAATTAATATGATGTATAACACCTTATCACATACAATCAGAAATTAAAATAGTATTAAATATTTTTTAACAAAGCTTCAAATGTATTACATATAATATATATGTAGGTACTGTACAGTACATACTGTTAAATATATGTGTATTTAATCATTATGTTTACAACGACAAATGTTTTTAAATTGGTGTTTTAGAATTAAATTGGTATAATGAAATTATATTTCCTTAAATTTGCCCTATATGTGTAATAAATGTCAAACAATACACACATTCTTAAATTACAACAGTCTTCTGTTTTTCCAATAAATGATAAGAACTTTTTTTTTTAATTGAAATTAATAGGGGCGTGTCCTGACAGCAAAGGTGTTGGTGACTTTTTGGTAGAGCTGTTCCGAAGAAAGTTAGTATGGAAGTTTTAAGAAATAATGTCAATTATCAAGATATTATAAGAAGTCAAATGGGTCCACTAACTTTGAATTTAATAACAATTCTGCTAATTATGGCTGGAATAGAAAAAAATCCCGGTCCTCTTCAATGTTCCCCCCTCAGGCAAGTCAAGTAACTATGCAAAGAAGGGGGCGAGGTAGACCTCGAAAGGATTATTCACAAGTTACGGAAGAAAATAATCAGTTAGTAGGGTTGTTAGGAGAAGATTATCTATCCGAAGAAGATATGAGAGAAACTACAGGTGCTACAAAAAACACTACCATTAAGGATTTTTTGAACCAACAGAAAACCTAGGATATCTAAGTGATAACGAACCCAGATACTCATTAAAATCGATTTACAAATTGATTCGGGAGAAGTTTGACCTTCTGACCCAAGATATTCAAACAATTAAATCTGAAATCAGCTGTTATGCATTGATTAAAATATTTTGAATTAATTAATGATAAATATGAAACAGGTCTTCAACCAATGGCCCACATGCGATCCTCTGAACTTATTTATGCAACAATTTGAATTATAGCCCAATCATTTAGGCCAGCCTGATTTAGGTGATCATTGGATGTTTCTATATACTTATCAGGCTTTGTGATGTTTGTTATACTGATAAAATAAACATAAAAGATTTATTTTTTGGGTGGCATTCCTGCATCAAAGAAAAATTGAAACTGAGTTATTCATAAATATTT